GGCGGAAGGTGACGCAGGTGGCTGGCGCGGCCGGAGCCGCCCCTAGGCGTACCGCTACACCCGGCTCCGATCCCACGGTGTGGGAGTGCCATAGAAGCCAAATTAGGAAGAAGCCATTGTAGCCTGACTCCCAGTCCACCAGTTCCATAATCCACAGTAACACACAGGACTGGCCGCGAGGCTTGACTTATCCTGTCAGCTGGCAACTTTCCAAGCCACGGCTTTTAGAGCACCGTGATAGCTTCAAGCGCGTCATATTGTTTATAATGAAGAAGAATGCGCTGTGAACGTTGACCTCACTTTCCCTTCTCACTCACAGGCACCAGTTCGATACCCGGGCCGGTCAGATGTCTGGCCCGAATGTTTTCAGGATCTGGATGGCGACCGGTGACGTCAAAAACGAATCCGAGGTACTTGATGGAGTCGAGGAAGAATTGGCACTTGTCGGCCCGCAGGCGGAAGCCATATTCCTGCACACGTTCGAGCACTGCGCACACTCGGTCTTGCAGCTCGGCAGGGGAGCGATCCACGATGATGATGTCGTCCAGGTACCCAGCTGTACCAGGGATGCCGGGGAGCATTACGTTCATCGTTTGTTAGAATAGGGCCGGGGCGGTCTTGACACCAAAGGGCAGCCTGATATATTGGAACAGACCGCGGTGGGTGTTGATGGCCAACAATTCGCGCGACTCTGGGGTGACCTCGATCTGCAATTACGCATCAGTGAGATCCAAGTTGGCAAAGCAAGTGCTACCATTCGGCAGGGCGAAAAGATCAGTAGAAACCGGCAGTGGATAGCAATTCGGCGTCTGCGCGGCATTGAGACCGGTGGAGAAGTCAGCACAAATGCGAATCGAGCCATTGGGCTTCTTAACCACAATGATTGGAGCGGCCCAGGCGGAGAAGGATACAGGAACCAGACGCCTTATTTCAGCCTCGACAAGTGGTAGGGCTGCATATGGGACTGGTCGCTTTAGACGGAAGACTGGTTGACTTCCAGGAGACAGATGTAGCACGGCTGGAGTGTATGTGCAACGACCCAGACCGTCTTGGAACACTGGAGCAAACCGCTGTAGAATGTCATTGGCTTGGTCTGCGATCACAGCGGAAATCTGCACTTGACCGCAAACAACACGGAGAGGTATATCAGCCAAACCGAGTAGTTAAATCCAGTCGAGACCAAGTAGGTTGACATCAGACTTGGTAATGCAGCAGATCGCAGTGATGCTGGTACCGCGGAACGAGACACAGCATTGCCGTTGTCCAATTAGCTGTACGAGACCACCGCACGCGCTTGCGGCGGACTAAGAAGTCTGATGCCTCATGGGTCTGTCAAGGGACTGCCAGGGTGTCAGAGATTATAGTGATGTCTAAACAGTATCCAACTGTAGGTGAACTGCATGGCCATTGAGCAAAAAGCCAACAAACTTTCTACAACCAGCCGCATTGAGCTGGAAAGTGGCCAAGAGACTGAGAGAATTACCAACGGACTGGGGCTTGTGCCTGCGTTTTGACCGGAAACGGTGCCTGGAACCAGAAATGACGGGGACTGGCTTGCTTGCAGAAGCTGGTTTCGATTTGCAGAACCCATCACGGTGTCCCACTTGATTACAGCTTTGGCAGCGATGCTGGCGAAAAATGTAATCCCGGTGGAAATGCCACGCGCCACAGTGCCGACAGGGAGATGGCGGAGATCTCGCCTTAGACACTTGCTTGGGCCGTGTAACAGGATGCGATTTGGTCAGTATGACCGTATGGACCGATAAAGATGAGGCAGGGTTCTGAATCATGGCGGAGTCGTGCTTGAGGTTGATCAGCGTTTGGCACTCTGCTTCCAGCTCTTGGAGTGCGGTAGAGTTGTTCTGCTGCAATTTGGACAGGAGACGTGTTTGGATGTCAGCATCCTTGGGGGACTAGAGGCCGCAGGCATCTAAACTGGTCTTCAGTGAGAGAACCGAGTTGGAAACACCCACACTCACGATTGACAATGCCCGCATATGTGATGAAATCATCGGAATCTCGTTTGCACAATTGCCAGCACTGAAATCGAGTGTTGAAAAGGGATGATTGCTCACCAAAAGTCGGCGACAACGTCTGAACCGTGTTCTTGAAAGTGACTTCTCGGGGATTCTTGGGGAGGATGAAGTTGGCATAACGCTCGTGTTCAGCTGGGCCCAGTTTGCGAAGTAGAAGTCGATGTCCGAGCCGGTCAGATGTCTGATCCCGGGAGTGAGTGCAGTGGCTAGCAAGCCAGTCTGCATGCGCCACATGCACGACCTGGTCCCGCAAACTCATATACCGGTATTACATACACGGGGGGAGGGTGGAGTGCTCGGATTTCACATGCACGGCGGAGGAGTTACACGGAGAAAAGAACCGAAAAGCACACGCCTCACTTACGTGCGAGGTGTCGGTATTGTGGAATTTTGGAGAAGTGTATGTGTTGATGGGCGAATGTTTGGTGCTATGGTCGCATCTGCATTGATTTTCTGCAGGTTTTAATGAAGGCGCATTTGACCAAATAGGCTCATGCGGTGAGTGAATGTGCGTGGACAATAGGGGCAATGATGACGAGCGCGTTTGGTATATGTATGTTAGTGCTCCTGGCGCCAGTTCGCCAGTCTCTCTGCGGTGGGTTCGCAAGTGACTGAAGTCTTGGAAACCGAAGTTTTTATGCTAGCGAAAACTACAATAAGATCAAAAATAGGAGAACAACTTGAGCCAGAGACTAGACCTACTTTACGCCCCTAAAGTTTTGCTTACCTCTCCGCTACCTGACACAGCTATTCGACGAAAGCTCAGCGAAAAGCTTGCTGTCTACCTGCAGCGGCGCTCAGCTCTGCGGGTAGGCCGTGTTAGACTTCCAGTCTACTGACTTTGATTTAGTTGCGTACAGCTAAAATCAACGTCTCAGTCTTTCTAGGCGCTGTCTGTAGGTTACAAATCATGCACGCATTTTCTGTAGTAGAATCTGTGTAGCTACTATCTTGGTGTACGCTTATTCTGCAAGGCGATACGGGTGTTCAAATGTAGTGAAGTAAAGATTGGCGACTCCTTTGACGTCGTCAGCCATTCGAATCCAAACCAAAGGCAAGGTATGGCCCATACCCCTAGTACGTCCCACAATCAAACATTATCGGTGAACATTCTTGTTTGAAGTGTCCAGATCACAGGCGACAGAGGATAAGACCCTGACTAAGAGCCAACTAGGTTCACATTCAAGTTTGTCCGGCCCGGATTTGGGTTGGCAGAAAATAACAACAAACGAGTCAGAAATGACTATTCAAGTCACCCCATCTTTACAGGTAGTACTTCACGACGATTCCTGGGAATATTCCAGGATTTTAAATTTGTCCCAGACCGGTAATAAACCTATCCTCAGGACCATAGATGGTCAAGTAGCACTTCCGACAATTGTTAGGCCGAATGCACTGGGTGAGAGGGATGGGGAGATAATTTGCTCAGTTTTAGATATTGGAGGACAAGTTCTCCAGAGACTGTCGAGTTTGAGGAAGCTCCGACGTCTGGATGAAAATCTAAGTAGCCCGACATATGCAAGGATTCCTGGTGGAAAATAACCGGTTCGAAAATAACAAAACCTCTGAAGACGGTCCGCCCGTTTGGTGGTTATAGACTCTATTTTCGTCCATATTTCGGAAGCGATGCGGACGGAATAGAGTCAAATCGCCGATTGCTGGTTTTTAAAAATGAAAACTTTCTCAGTACGAAGTCCATTGACACCAGTATCTTTGATATCCCAGCTAAAGCCTTCCCAGTCGTTCTCTCGAGTCGCTTTCTTGTGAGCAACTTCCACAAGGCCTTGCTGCTTTTGCTAGAACACAGCTACGCGGACCAACATGTAGCCTCGTCGAATTCTCGTAGGCCTATTTGACTTAATTCCTCATCTTTACTGCATAAATCAGCAATGTCCGTAGTTAGACCCGTGTTTCGGTGCCAATTTCAAGCCTGTTACGACGCAACAAAGATCGACTCTGGTAAAAAGTCGCCTGTCATGGCCTTTTTCTCCCGGCGATCGTGTCTCCTTCTTCAAGACTACTTCCTGGGACTCGTCTCTTCGCTTCTATTGGCAGTGTACGGGGTCTTCAGCATGACTGTCGACCACACTGGGGTTATATTAAGCCGTTTCCAGGGGTATTACGGATTTTGTCAATACTGATTATGTTAGGTTAGCCAAGCTCCTTCCCAAGAAGGTGCCCTGCTATGTCCAAAACAGGGGATCGCGACAAAACTTAATTATCTAACAAGATGACTGAAAGCTCAACCATTGCGAACGCCGATGTCCATCGTGCGCCCCACGGAGTGGACGCAGGGCGACGACTTCAGCGGCCCCTGCCGAAACTAAACGGCCTGTCTACGCGTGCCACGCACGACCTGGTCCCGGAGCATGAACAGACGTTTACGGGGACGACTCGCATACCACATGAATGCCTGCCCCGCACGCGAAACCATGTGCCGAGCAAGGTGGAAGGTGAATTTGGGCCAGTTAATGGTCTTTACCCTCACGTGTCCAGTTTCCAACCAAAACGCGGTTCAGTATAGCCAAAGCCGAACGCGCGCGGGATCCTATCTCGAATCAGTCTAAACCTCTGGAGATTGGCGACAAACCTGGCAGAAAACAGGCTGGGAGTATTCGATGCCTCTAATGAGAGCTGTTATACGAATGCAGTGCATGACCTG